AAAAATGTTAATATGGAAAAGATGAGCCTTGGGGTTAGGAAAAGAGCTTTATCATTTTCAGAAAGTGTTACCATTTCTAAAAAGTAATACAATCTCCTTTCCTCCTCCATCTCTGAGCCTCATTCATTGTCCATCCCTGTACCGGCCGTGCCGACCTTCTCCTCCTATAAGGAGCAGGCTGCCAGAGTCATACTCACTCTCGAGTCTTCGGTCCTCAGCCGGATAAACACACAGAGACGAGCCATCGGGAGGCGCCAACACCAGAGCTTTATTCAGAGGCCATCACAGCAAGCCATCACAGCAAGCCCAAGCAGCAAGGCCAGAGCAACAGAGCAGGAGCCAAGAGAGAGAGCGTGATCTGACCATGCTTGTTCCTAAGTACCTACTTAGCCCCTCCTCCCCAGCCCGCTTACTAGCCAATGATTGTAGGGTCAGATACCGGAAGGGGCTGTCTGAGTTTAGCACACCAAGGGAGAGGGAGTGACGTAGGAGGCTAGGACCAGATACAGGAAGGAGGCATCTGGGATAGTGCATAGACAGGAGTACGTGACCTAGGAAGTCAGGAAGGAGGCGTCTGGGGTCAGTGCTACACAAAGGGACCCAGGAAGTCAGGAAGGTCACAAGATGGAGGCGTCTGGGGTTGACGTTGCATATAGGGAGGGGACTAAGCAAAGGGAACTCAGTCCTCTGCTGTCCCACTCCCACATGGCACTGCCCCTTGCCTCAGGAGCACAAGCTCCGGCTACTTCCTTGCACCCAGCTTATCTCACATAGCACTGCCTACTGCCTCAGGGCTTCTCCGTACCCAGCCCATCCCAGTTCACCACGACTCTGCCTACCACAGCCCCTGCCTCGACTTCCAAAAATACCCAGATCTTACCCTAATCTTGCCACAGCGCCCACCTGGTAGTTGCCAACATCAGACAGTCCCTCACACATCCCTACTGCTTTTAGTCAAGCTCCATAGTTGTTGGATGTGTGTTGAAATCTGGACAATAGACTTTCTTCAGCCATTTGCTCTTTTCTGAGTGGAAGCACAGGCCAACCTCCTTTGAGTGATTACATATGTCTTCCAGGAAGATCTACAATGTCCTGGGGTTTGGTGTGTTCAATGCAATGTCTGAGCATCAGACAGACTTTGCCATCCACAGAGATCCTCCTCAATCTGGATTCTTGAGCTAGATCTCCTGCCTCATAGTGGCAAATACCTTTGCAGAGCATACATCTCCCTGCTTTATTCCTCACCTGATTGATCAGGGTTACTTCTGTTGTTAAATCTTTCAGGGAATCCTGAATTATCTTAACGTACGGATGAGAGACACCTTGGTGCAAAGAGCTTAAAAGGTAACAGTTTCAATGAAACATTTTTGGGGTATTTAACAAACAATAATGAGAAATTACATCTTCTACATTTTTTTCAGTTCATTGTGAGATAGTAAGGATGTGGTCCATTTTGTGTGTGTGTGTGTGTGTGTGTGTGTGTGTGTGTGTGTGTGTGTACGTACTTGGTTCATTCTAGCTGCTTTTCCTGCCTTTGTTCTCTTTAGCACCATTTCTACCTCCTATAAAAGAACATATGGATGAGACAGCCACGTCAGGGACTCTGTGTGTGTGTGTGTGTGTGTGTGTGTGTGTGTGTGCACACGCAGGGGAGGGTAGGATTCCACTGTCCTTGGTAGAGAAAACAGTTTGTTAAAATGAATTTTTCAAATCTTTTCCCACTTTCTTCTGTTTGTAGTCCTCATTACTTTTTAATCTTTAAATACACTTGGAATGACTTTGCTTGAGTTTCTCTCTAAGCTTTCTTGGTTGATGGACACTCTTTTTTTTTTTAGGCAATTGGGGTTAAGTGACTTGCCCAGGGTCACACAGCTAGTAAGTGTCAAGTGTTTGGTCTGAGGTCGGATTTGAACTCACGTCCTCCTGACTTCAGGGCCAGTGCTCTATCCACTGTGCCACCTAGCTGCCCCATAAGCTTTCTTTAAACTGGGTTTGCCCTCTGCTTCTTCTTGCTCTGAAAAGAGACTTCTCCCTATAATTTATTATCCTTCTTCATAAGATTTTATGAATGAGTCTATATTCGAACTTGGGATTGCAATTGGCAGCCATCTAACGTCTTTTGGAAAGTATGTTACATGTGTGCTCATTAAGATGCTTCCTGGCCTCTTTTGGTCTCCATTCTATGGCAATTAATTTAAGTTGTTCAAATTTTGGGGATGATGTTGTAGTTAATGTCAGTCATTTCTGTTATCTATTTCTTATTTTTAATTACTTGTGTAACACTGCTACCCTCACTCCCCAGTGCCTAAAGGCCAGGAAGGTTACATTTCATCCCTCTCCCAGGGTTCTCTGTTACCCTTCAGGGTGATGGGACTGTCTAGGCTCTTTGCGAATGAACCTCCACTAATGATGTTCCCTTGAATGTAGAGGGGATTCCTGCACTCTGGTATCATTTAGCCACTACCATATTAGCTTTTACAAAGGATTATTTACTTCAAACAATGTAATTAGAAAAATATAAACTTACTCCCCCAATACATGGTAGGTATAATCTTATCTTCCTCCCCCCTTGTACCACCTCAGTCTCTGGGGAAGGAACAGGGTTTAGGTTCATAGCTTAGCTCAGTTCTCATAGAACATAGTCCTAAGTTGCAAGTCCAAAACACCTCTTGAGCTCGAGTCCTAGGCACTCTGACTTCTAAAGGCTTTCCTTCCAGGCTGGTTGTCTGTAACATCCCAACTGCAATCCTGGCTCAGGGTCCAAGGTTACCATGGCTTAAACTTCTGCCTATACATGAAAACTGAGGACAAACAAAACAGAACAGAAGCAAACAACCCCAGGCCCACTTCTCAGAGCTAGGGTAAAAGAGAGGAAGCAGGGGAAGGCAGTCTTTCTTCTTCTTCTTTTTTTTTTTTGTGAAGCCATTGGGGTTAAATGACTTGCTGAGGGTCACACAGCTAGTAAATGTCAAGTGTCTGAGGCCAGATTTGAATTCTGGTCCTCCTGACTCTAGGGCTGATGTCCTATCCACCAGTTCTTCTTCTTTCAATGGTTCCATTCATGGTCTAGTGCCATGGGGGAATTATGATCCTCTAGAAAGAGAGTACAGGAAAAAGTAGATAGGAAAGAACAAGTGTCTCATTCTCATCAGTTTTAAAGATGCTGTACAGTCAATAAAAGGAGGCTACAGCTACCCATGTGGTAGAGAATGAAAAATGCCTCCATATTGGGACATTTGGGGGTGCCCAGGCAAGACACTGCTCTACTTGTTTAAATATTTAAGATTCAGTCATTTCAACTGTATTCCATATCTTTTTCTCATTGTTATTCCTTTCGTTTCTCTTCACAGATTCTGATCTTAGCTTTGATGAAGCTATAGTCTGACTGTATACAAACAGCTGACTCAGGTATAATTCCCATGTCATTAACAAGTCTTTTACTATAAATTACCTACACTAAATTCCTTCCTTAATGTGCGTACATGCCAACAACAAAATTACTCATCCTCTTTTGTTTACCTATAACCAGCACAGAAGTTCCTTTATATAGCACCTGAATTCAGATTAGAAGAAAGAGAATGATTTCTTCAACTGGTGAAGATGTGGAAAAGGTGAATTCCAGGTTTAAGGGGTAGCTGGTTTGGGCAGGACAAGACTGAGTAACAACTAATTGCTGACATAATATGTAGTATGTAAAGGCAATGATATTAAATAAGCTTGAGAAGGTAGGGTAGGCTGGAATTGAGCTAAACCTAAAGCAACTGGGGAGGACCCTAGGTGAATGAGTGATCTGGGGCACAGGAGTGGGCCTCGCGGTAAGTGACCATCTACAGAGGAGGGGCCTCTCAAAGAGCATCTGGGGCTGCCCCACTTGGACAACTTGTTCTACTGCTTAAGAACAACATACTACCACAGTAGAGAGGTTTCCTACTGGAAGATCGGGGCTCTGAATGTTCCATTTTTCTTAGAACAGGAAAAATTTTAACCTCAGCCTGAAAAATTGTGGTAGCCAACAAACTCTGGTGTAAAGGCCTTAAAGTTTAAGATGTGGGGTAGTCAGAACAATGCCTAGATGGGCTAATACACATGCTGCTATTTGTTAATGTTGTTGTTCAGTGGTGTTTGACTCTTTGTGACCCCATTTGGGGATTTCTTGGCAAAGATACTGGAGTGGTTTGCCATTTCCTTCTCTGGCTCACTTTACACATGAAGAAACTTAGGCAAATAGGGTCATGTGACTTGCCCACGGTCATACAACTATTAAGTATCTGAGGCTAGATTTAGATGCAGGAAAATGAGTCTTCTTGACTCCAGGCCCGACACTCTGTCTATTGTGCAACCTAGCTGCCCCACATATCTGGAATCCAGTGGCAAAAGCAGAGAGAGGCAAAGGGGATGCTTCCTGGTCTGAGCACCAATAGTGTGGACAGGTCCACAGTAGTCATTGCTTACAATCTGCTGTTGTTTTGATACACACACACATATACATGCATACATACACACATATCTATATATAAAACTTTTACTTTATTTTACTTTTTTCAATTAATAAGTATTTTTTTCTCCCACCAACCTCCGTCCTCCCATTGAAATAGAAAGAAAGACAAAACTCTTGTAAAAATATGGATAGTCAAGCAAAGTAATTTTTTTGTATTGGCTATAAAAAAATGTATGTCTCATTCTGCATCTTAAGTCTATCACGTCATAACTTTCCACTCTGCTATCAATGCGATGTGCTGCAGTGAACCTTGGAATTTCCCGTTAGCCCAGAAATTCCAATGCACCTATTTCAGGAAATGATCTTTGGATAGAGAGGAAAAATGGCTGGCCGTAAACTAAAGAGGGGAAAAGGCTTGTAAGAATCCGCAAGATGAGAGGTTAGAAGAGGCCTTCCCAGCCAGTGCCTGTCTCTATAAAACCAGGGTCTGAGGGGGAATTGCAATATCATGGGGTTGTCATTTTTCTTCACATTTAGGAATGTCAGCTCTGGGGACCTCATCTCATTTGAAGCAATTGGTCACCTTGGCTACCTGGGGGGTCAAAAGGTGGACAGAATTGAGTTTAAAACCTGCAGCTTCAGGGTGCAGCTAGGCAGAGCAGTGGATAGAGAAGCAGCCCTGGATTCAGGAGGACCTGAGTTCAAATTCGCCCTCAGACACATAACACTTACTAACTGTGTGACCCTGGGCAAGTCACTTAACCCCATTGCCTAGCCAAAAAAAAAAAAAAACCTGCAGCTTCAGCAAGAGCTGGTAAAGATTTTTCTCCCCGAGTCCCTTGCTTTCCTCAAACACAGGGAGTACAGATGGGCCTCTGGGTGAGCATCTATATGGAGGAGAGGAACATAGGTACTCCCTAGGGGTATGCCAGTAAATTTTTAACAACCAGCTCTCTAAATAAAGGCATAGCCCATGTTTAAATTTAAACTGCATGAACATTTTCTCTATTGCTTTCTTACATCTAGACAGTTTTTGTCAATATATGAGGTATAAAAGCTCACAAAAATTCACCAGTTCCCGGGAGCTGGTAGGAGAGGGCAACCTGACCTGCTCCTCCTGGACTTCTCAGACCTGACTGAATATCTTGCTTTGTCCAGGCCACAATCATGGCTGCCTCCACCTACCAAGTATCTTTGTGTTGATTTTTGAATAAAGCAACTTTTTGACAATATACCCAGACCCCTGGTGCTTTATCATATACAAACCAAAATAGATTCTAGTCTCAGCTGGAGACAAAACATGTAGGTACCGGAGCCAGATTATGAAGGTTCTAAAATGTTATCCAAGGGGTCTGCATTTTATTCTAACCATCAGGGAGTCATTGAAAGATTTTGAGCAAAAGAATGATATGACTAGACATGTTCAAAGAAAGGATGTTTTAGCAGTTATATAAACCAAGGGTTTATAGATGCCTGGGTGAGGGGTAGAGTTCATGGAGAGATTCTGGTCTTTCTCTTTCCATAAAGGGACCTCTCCTTGGAGAAAATATGGAAACATTTGTTTGTTTGTTTGTTTGTTTGTTTTCTCTTTAGATGATGGAAACCTGGATCTCTCTTCTCTCAAACTCTTGCCAACTTTACCCATCTCACAGGCACAGAGTATTAAGTAATCAATTTCCACCTGTAAGGAAAATCTCATATAAATGATCTTTGATCAGAGAGTTACATAAAGTACATTTTTTTTACACAAATACGATACATAAGAAGCCAACTAGACCACAGTAAGATTTGAGGAGAAAGAGATCAGTTCTTGCTAGAGGGATCAGAGGAAACTTCATGAACACAAGACCCTTGGATCTTGAAGAAGAAGAAGGATGTCAATAGATGGAAATGGAAGTTCTATTGCAGGCACAAAACATAACCTATGCAAATATATGAAGGGAAGAGAGCAACGAGTGGAATGGGAGAACAGTAAATAGTCCAATTTGTCTAGGGAATAGAAAATGGAAAGAGGAGGATGGGAAAATAAGATTGGAAGGATCTCATATTCCCCCTCTCTCATGCCAGGGGCCAGGATATCTCCTCTTGGCTTCTCTGCCCTTTCTCTCCCCTTTTCTTCTTCTTCTTCTTCTTCTTCTTCTTCTTCTTCTTCTTCTTCTT